GCGTGCGTAGCTGCCTGGTGCGCATAAACTCCGACTTGATTTTTTTTCGTTTCGTCGAGGACTTGTTTTTACCGTAGAACTGTTTCATAAAATGAGAGAAAGAAGTCACATTTTTGTTACTGCATACTGTACTGCATCCGGGAGATCCCTGTCCTAAAGCGCCGGCGACTTGTGCAGCCCCAGCACAGCAGTTGTTGGCGACATTCTGTTGACATCTAGAAATATTGAAAACTTGATTTTGGTTTCTGAAGGGATTGAAACATGCTTGTTCGCAAGATTAGGTTGTAGTATGATACAACTATCCTTATGACTTCTATTATGTCGCGTATAATCTATACGTTTATTTATCCTACTGTCTCACCGTCTGCTACTTATTTAATCTTATCACCTCACTCTGTGCAACAGTAACAAATAAAGTAAATGAACTAACCCAGCGAGCAGAAGGACGAGTTCTTTTATTCGCTTACCACCACTATCTTCTATCTTCACTTCCTTTTTAATTTTTGTGACAGTTTGTTTGTGAAGAGTAATTATTCTAATTGATTTGAGTAATTATTTAATTAACTTATTGACTATTATTTAACTTATTAACCCAGTCTTCAATCCTAGCAGCGAATCTTTTCTATGGGCTTAGAATCCCTCACCTTTGCCTTTGAGCATCCTACTGGGACCACCTTTCTGATTCTAGTATGCTGAGTTGAGGGATTTCCAAAAAGAAGTAAAAAAGATTATATAATACTAATATGCCGCTGAGGGAGCCGAAAGAAGTGCTTACGATTTGAAAGATGTGCTCTGTACTAGTTCAAGGCAGATTTCTTTTCCTAACGTCATTGGCCAACTAGTCATCCGAGCCATGCCTTTTACATCGATAATCCCAATCCTGTCCAGTCCACTGCATTAGCCAACCTCTATCTTTACGATTTAGTAGTCGACATCGTTTTCGACGTTTTCATGACTCCGTTCCCTTTGCCGTTGATTTTCCCTTTTTTGAATGAGGTTTTTTTTTCATTTTCAAATTAGTGCCCTACCGATGATGGAAGTTCAGTTTGCAGCCGGAACACTGTAGTCCTTGGTGCTTCAGACCGTACAGCAGTGAACCACAGTGATCACAGAATGTCGGACGCTTGTAGAAATGAGGTGCTAGGCGATGCGGCATGTTGAACTGGTTCTCACCTTGCTGAAATTAAGCAACTTTTAGAAAAATCTCATGCTCTACTTTTTCGGCTCCTGAAAAGAAAAGCTTTGCGTTAAACGATTAGTTCTGTTTCCAGAAGCCTTGAAAAGAAGTCAAAAAGAATTTCAAGCTACGTTTGCTCTAGTACCTATGTGCCTCTTCTTATTTTTGAGAAGGCTACGCAAAAGTACAGCAAATCTAAACATTTTAGGTTTCTATGATTAGAACCAGTGTTAACTTCTCGAATACGTTTCTGGATTTGTTTAGAATCATTCCGTCTGTTCCTGAGACCCTAATATAACCACCTTTTGTAGGTCCGAAGAACGATCGATTCTAGAAAGGGTGGTTATAACGCTTCAAGCACCCACTACTTGTCGGGATGCGCAGTGCGGGACGAGTACGGTATGCAAACCCCTTTCTAGGTCCGATAGCTCTTCCGCCGCTTCCGTCTCAACTATGCTTGTCATTTTGATGGGAATTACTCTGATCAGTCTTTTCCTATTAATGTCAGCCTTGAGATGATCGCTGACGACTCATTCTTTGCCAACAGTCCATAGTTTTCTTCCACAAACCAATATAATCGTTAATACGAGGGTTGCCTTTTATATTTCGGGATTGAGCAACCCTAGTGTTGCAATCTGGCAACTGACAACTCTATTGTAAAGTTTGACTCTTTTGAGGTCATACTTACTCAGAACGTTTTGACATATTCTTGTGTTGTTTACACTAACTTAAAAAATTTACTCAGAATTCAGAATTATTCAGATTTTCGTGGAGGTCTCCAAAATCAGTTGTTGTTCCGATGCTGTGCGCAAACTAATATTGCAAGATTTTCATATGACCTATCGTGGGACATCCTCAGGCAGTAAAGGGACCAGCATACATTCAATATTGCATGAACATTTGACTGTAAAAAAAGTTGTTTTTGAAAAGTTTGTTAATCCCCCAAAAAAAAGGGACTNTCCTGTTTTTTTTTTGGAAAAACCGGACATGAAGCAACCGTACCACTAGAACAAGCAGAACAGTCAGGTATACCACCATTTGTTTGCCAGTTGCTTTCCAAAAATAAGGAAAACCAACTGCTGATGACGAATCACTCTTCACCACGACTACGCGAGCTTCCACACATCGGCTCAAACAACTGCATTTTTGACACTTGAAACAACGATCTGATGAGTCATCAGCCATATAGTCCCCGGGTGACTTCTTCTTATCCGGTACGTAAAAAATAAAATGAGAGGTCAACGTTTTTCGACACCGTTTGATTCGTTCAAAACGCATGTTTTAGAGTTACCCCAATCAGAGTGGCAAAAGCGCTTCACAAATTGGTTCGAGCGCATGCAAAAGTGTATAGACCTTAATGAGGAAAATTTTGAAAGGCAGTAAAGCGATTTTCAATGTTTTATATTTATTTTTTGAAAGGCAACCTATGTACTCAACGTTTACTTTGCAAACGTGTCCCATTACCACTAGCCATGACAGTTACTCACTAAAATCATTCCGTTCTAGTAAATCAACCTTTTTGAGTTCACCTAAATAAGTTCAAGTAGTCTTATTTGAGAATCGGCTTGTATAACAATATTTTGATGAGCTACAAACCTCAGTGGTGCCACGGTTTTCCGTTTCAGCGGCATCATCAGCTTCATTTCGTGGACACTTCCATACTACATCTTGGTGGCAGTGTTTATGTACAACCGTTGAGCAGTCTCAAATTTACATAATTGGGAACAAAAAAAGAGAATTTGATTTCCTGTCCAAAAAAACTAATTATAAAGAAACGAGCGGTAAATTTGCTACAACAAATTTCAAAACTTTCTTACAATGACATCTTTTTGGCTTTCTGATTGTAAAGCTCAGGTCTTGAAAACGTGATGTGAAAGAAATTAGCCAACTTACCGCGACATCGGTATCCCTGCTTGCCAATGCCGAAGATGAATTTTCTACAGTGAGCGCAGAATGTCGGTTGACGCAGTAATTTTGCAACGAATTCGTGACGATTGACCTGAGAATGGATCGAGTTTCTTGACAATTTCTACAAACTCAACGGGTTGTCTGATGGAGGCCACAGGCCATACATGGCCTTGAGAGTTTTTTTGAGGAGGAAATGACGGAATGAGTGATGTGTCCGAGGTAATTTTTACAGTTTACACTTTACCTGGAAGATTGAATGGTGAAAAAAAAATATGAGCAATTCCGTTGACAGTTAATCAACTCAGCCATCGCGATCTGCCTCAAACCGAGCGTGTTCCGTTTGGCCATATCGTTGAAAATGGAAGGGAGAGAATTCTGAAGATACTTACCTCATGTACTTTTCCGGTCATTGTAACACAAATCGATGATCCTTAGAAATACCTGCAAGCATAGAATGGATGAAGTGGAAAATGAAGGAAAAGAACGGTACCAGTACCATAACTACAGCCAAGCAAGCAATCCAGCACGACTCTTGAAAAAACTTCCACATGCTTCATAAATAGGAAATTCTTCCACTAAATAAATCTCAGGTAGTGTAGTGCCAAGTAGCACACTATCACACCTGCTGTTTAATTTTCCAATAAGTCCCTCTCCCAACGACCTCCTATTACATGAGGACCCGGACTACGTACTCGCTTTTCTATCTCTCTGGAGTACCAGTACCATCTGGGAGGATAAGGCACAGAGGTGTTTATAGGCTAAGCACCGCTTGTCATTGTATAATAAAAGCCAATGTCGATACCAACAATAACGCCCAAAGGACTAAATTTTCTATCCTTTGAACACAATTCCTCCTCTTGGATACCTTTGAGGAGGATATGGTTGCGAGCATAAAATACTGACAAAGAAATCGGGTGGTCCATTAGAGCTAATGCTTTGCGTGAAGTATCGTGCTATGGGAGAAATGTGTTACAAAGTATCGCTAAGCGAACATGTGAACAATGTTACAGCATGAACTTTCGTCAACCTTAAGCGTTGACTTGCCTTTTTCTTCGAGTATACAAGACTAAAAAAGTTTCCGAGTAGAAAGGATGCCTCTAAACTCACCGAGGAAGAATACCCTTGCATACTCAAGAAAAACGTACGGACAAGTCGAACTTGAGTGAGGGATGGCGATAGCCGTAGGAGAAAAAAAAGTAAGCACAGAGTTATTAATTCATATGGCATGGAAAAACTATTCTAATCTTCATTGAAGTGTGCAAGTGTGTTAAACTTGGAAGTTTGAGGACTGGAAAGACAGGCGAAGCACAGCTCCGACACCAAGTATAAATAAAAGATAAACACGTGACACAAAATTTGGTTTGAGCCCAGGTAGAGAAGGAGAGAAGCTAACCATTACCAGTTCAGAAGAACTTGTTAAGCCTTGGCCTAGTATATTTAGGATAGCGACATCGGAGTGCGGATCTTCCAGAGTGGATCTCAATGAACGTCATAATCTCGGGCGCAGCCTTTGGCCGGCTAGGCCACTTGATAGCCGACGAGCTGGCGGCTCCGTTAACGCCTCCATATGTTCGCCTACACGTCCAATTACGGGAAATGGGAGAAGACTGGGATAGAACAGAATGAGTGAGATAAATCACTGATGTACATGTAGTGAATAAATCGCTCGTGAACGCGAATAGCACGCTTTCCATTTCCTGTTTTGTATCCTGTAGGACCGTGGAGGAGAAGGGTAATATGTGCGTCTGGGGATGTCGTTGACGGAAAGAGGCGTTCTATAGGGTATAATGTCATTCGCTTCATGAAATACATGACAAGCCATACCATTTATGCGAACAGGTGCCTGTTCGATCACAATTCTATGTTTTTGTGGGACCGAGAGAGAATGCGATAGTTGACAGGCCAGCTAAAGAGACACTGACTTTTGCTGACAGTTTGTGCGCGATCAGCCACCGGCCGACCAGCCTGGTCATACGACCCTGTAATTGTTTGACTTCAAAACGATGGTGACGGTGTAACCCCAAAGAATTATGTGGCACTCAGAAGACCTACTGTAAAGTATTAAATAGTGGTACTATGCCAGGCATGGGAAGTGATGTGTACGAGCTGCCAAATAGGTTCGACAGATGAGATGTGAATGGAGATCGACGACAAGAGGGAGTGTTTTACTGTTCAAATAGCGGTAGGGGAAAGCATCCGATAGGTGGTTTTATTTGCAAAGGGAATGGTCATTTCATCAATACAACAGTATTCATATTCGTAGCGGGAGGAGGCGGTCCGTTGGGGCAATCTGGCACGGCTGTCGCCGACTTTCACGTGTGTGGTTAGCATGTGACTAGACTTCGAGCTCTCTGAGAGAGAGAACACCATACCTCAGCTGTCAGCGAAATGTACTCGTGTACTGCTGCAGCTACCTACGAGGAAGAAAGAGTCGTACTATAGACAAAAACGCAAGTTACCCTGACGGAGTCACAACTCGCAACTTTTACCCTCTAGTCTTCCCATTCGAGGTATTTTCTAGCATTTGTTGCATGAAGCATTGCATGATTTACGATTCGAAAGCGTTACGTGTTCAATTCTGCCCATCAATTCTGGCCACTTCGAAGCTGGATCCCATCAAACCTGCATCACTCATTTGGCCTTGGAGCTCCTGAAGCTCCTTCTAGGCTGCATTGTGTGGTGGCCGACCAAGAACGAGAAAATCGAGTATGAGCCTAATTCTGGCAAGCCGCCTGTAATAATATAAACAAATTTCCTGACATATCCTGATATGCACTTGTAATGGAGTGGTGTTTTCTGGTAGAACTTTCAGGGAACTCAGAGAAATTATAGAAAAAATCTGGACTATTAGGAGTGTTTTCCGGCAAATGCCATATGAACATCTTGTACAAGCAACATAAGCGCATGCATGAAAATCCAGACCGCATTCATAGCTTAAATTAATAACATTATTTAGGTCATCTTCGTTTTAGCTCAGTTTCTCAATGAGAAAATATTTTATGGCTTAGATACCATTACCTTACTGTCAGGGTATCGTTACTACTAGGGTTAATCTTATCCGCTTATAAACACCCCAGTGAGCTCCATGTGGTTCGGAGATCTCAGCTATATACGAGCTTGCTGGGTCCGAGCTTTAGAGACGTCTTTTCACTCAATGTTTTATTAAAACCTGCTTGTCAAGTTCATGAAAAGAGCCATATAGCAAATATTAAAGAAGAGTTTTGGTCAGTTGAGTACTTCTGTGTGAAATACACCAGATGAAAAACTCGTACAGCTGCTGACTATGTGTATGTATGAGAGCGCGTGTGTTGGGTGGATTCGACGTGGGGAAGGAATGCGGAGCGAGAAAGATGTTCAGAAGTGTCAGAAGAGCTCGGGGCACGCTCATTTCGTGCTGTCCATGAGTGGAGTAGTGACGTCAGGAGTGACGCGGATGGGTATTTCAAAACGACCATAAACATCACGCAGAGTAAAAGACGTCAGGGTCTACGAGGCCGTTAGTTGAGACGCATTGCCTGTGCCGTTCTGTGTAGAAATATCGCAGAGGGTAACTTCATCCCTCCTCAAAAGGATGAAATTAACCTCCCCAAGATGGATGAAGGTAACTCTCCGTGATATTTCTAGCGGCTGTGCGACCCAAATGACGGCCCCGTAGACGCTCAGCGTAAAACGTGCACAACCCCTATTGAAGAGGTAGACCGATGTTACAGATATAAATTGTTTCGTATTAGAAATGCTTCATATGACTTTCTTGTCAACCAATGTCCACTTTTGCCTGCACTGGGAGCGAATTATCGCTTCTGAAGTGGGATAAAGTTACCTCTCCGCAACATTTCACTACATGTACTACCAAAACGTTCCGCTTGCCCACCAACTGAAGCGACTGCCTATCAAGCTTAGATGCATCTCAAGTTACACCCGAGAAGATTCCGGCGTCGTTCCCTGGTGCTGCATCAGCGAAGATATTGTGAAAACCCTGCCGCTGCATACATGTCAAGAACGTTGAAATATCTCTTAACCTTTGATAGGGCTTATTTCAGGTTCTTAACATGAAGACGTCCATTGTCTTGAAAAGTCCTCATTTGATATGAGCACAAGGAATGGACTCTTTATGACTGTCACTGATTTTTAGTCTTTTCCTTGAACGGTAACAGTATCCTGGAAGAAAGTTACTGATGTTAAAGCGAATAACGCTTCGAAAAAAGCAAATTCTTCTCGCCTGGCTCCCTCATTATACACAGGAGATGCTTGTACTTCAGATGTTGTTATGGCTTTAAGATAGGATATTGGGGGATGGCGTGGGATAATGTAAGCGTTGCTGATAACTTGTGGTTCACAGGAGTAAGCGAGTGGGCGGAAACTGGCGTATTTGAACTACCTAGACAATGTGGAGGCCGGCATGGTTTTGAAAGAACTACACATGAATAACCATATTTTCAGGCTCTCCTCTGTTTGGAAGCATTCGATCATTGATCACCAATCATCATCAATCAATCCAATAGAAAGTTGATGTTGTAGAAGTAGCTTGCGATTCCCTGCTTCTGCTTAGACAAGAAAGGGGAGGCAGTGTGTTAAAAGCTTTTCGGCCCAATGCTCGGCGTTTTTCGCAGAATACACTCATTTGACGGTCAGACCCTCTTTTTGACCGTATCTGTGCACCACTGGGTTTTGGCGAGATTGGATAGTTTCCTGCCCACAAGATCTGGGAAACCAGGGTGTCTCCATGAAGTGAGATGAGAGTATATCATCCCACTGCGTTTTTTCTTCCTTCTTTTATTTTTTCCGAACCCCTGATATAGCTATTTTTCGTCTAAATATTTGAATGAGTTGTCTGACAATTGAATGTGAAGATCAACTTTCTAAGTAGTATAAGTTTACTGCCAAAAATATCTTGAGAACAATATTATTTATTATACTGTCGATCTGCAGTGTTAAGGAGTTCACGCGTTCGAAAGGATTGGAAATCGTGTTCGCCCTTGTCCTTCTTTCTTCGCCTGACGTAGTCCTAAAAGTTACTGTGAATGCGGTTACCCGTTAATTGGTCAACGAGTAAAGCACCTCAACTGCGAGCTGGGGAAACTGTGCTGCATCCAGTTTGGTCAGGAGTTATGTCGGTATTTTCGGCAGGCTAAACAAAAACTTTCGCCAAAATACAAAAACTTCATGGATGCGATTAAAATACCCTGTTATATTCACCCAGAAACGGAGCGATTAATAGAAAGCCATTTCAAAAAATTTCGAAGAACCCAGGTAAAACGAAAGTATTGTCATCACATGCTACTCTCATTTTTTTCACACTTTCTGCATTTCTTCCAGTGCAATCAGCTTATCGACTAAAAAAAATTACGTTTGTCTTACTACACGGAGTATTCCTGTTCCCAGTGAGTCCCAACTGTCCTAACACAGCTGCCAGTTGTTTGGCGTCGATACCACAATTATTGGCGACATTTTGTTGGCATCTGAAACTCGGAGTGACGTTACTCTGGGTAGCACGTTTACCCTACCAGCCCGTTATAGGACGAGTCCGTTTACAGTTAAAATTCATATTCGCTCACTTCGAAATAGATTGTCATACCGTTTATGGATGTTCAATTTGCAGCTTGAGCAGTGAAGTCCCTGTTGAGTTAGACCATGGAGTAGGGAGCCGCAGTGATCGCAGAATGTCGGGCATTTGTAAAAGTGAGATACGAACCGATGCGGCATGTTGATGTTAAATCGACCCGTGCTTTGCTGAAATGAAGTTAAGGGAAAGAATATAGAATAAAACTTTTCAGCGTCAGAAATAAATAAAAGCATTGCTGGCTTAATAAAGTCCCAGAGGAATTTCAGGGGTTAGTGTTCATGTATGACTTTCATCTTGATCACGAAATGGTCAAGAGTGGGGGTGACGCTACGTCATAGTGCGCCAGAGTACGCTACCCTGCTCACCTCTACCCTAGAATGCCTTCATTATTCTCCTAGCCATAATTCCGCGCTGTCGTAGGGTCTGCTGTTCTTGTTAGCGTCTCCATTTCCCTCTGTTCACGGAATCTTCTACCGCTGGTTCAGATTTGGCGCGGTCCTTACTGATCGAGTCCCGCCACCTTTCCTTGGAGCTTCCCGTGGTCCCTTCTACCGAGCTTGCAAATCAATTGCCTCCCATTTTGGATGGTTTAGTGGTCTTCTTACTACGCGTCCTAGGCAGCCAAACCAGACATCTTCCGCAGTCCTGAGGCACGATCTTCCCCCCAGTGCTGTTGATTACCCCGTGAACCCATTCTAGACCCCCGTCCCTAGTTCACTGCAAACACAGCATTTGGAAAACCTGCTATAATGGCATATTCCCCTTCATGAACTAATCTCCCTCCACCCTCACCAGCATTTCTCATGATTTTCGTTGCTGTCATTCTCTAGCTGTATAGTTGAGTTTAATTGCATAAAATTCTTCAATCAGCTATGAATCCCACCGTTTCCGTCTCAGATGGAACGTCGGCTTTAATGCGTGTACACTTCCATATCACCTCCTCATGGCAGTGCTTGTGTACAACCGTTGAGCAGTCTCAAAACAAATAAATATTAAGAAAGAATGTTTCGCTCTGCTTTGTCATGAAATTGAACAGAGAGCAATTTCTTCAACCGAAAAACATTGATTCATCAAGTGAATGAAGGTCTTGGATCTTAAGATCTCTAACAAGAATCTCTATGATAGATTTAACAAGATGACAGTGCTTGAGGTTTGAAAAAAACGAAGACTTTAAGGAACTTACCTCGACATTGGTACCCTTGCTTACCCATACCAAAAATGAACTTCTTGCAGTGAGCGCACAATGTTGGCTGTCGTAGTAGTACCGCCACGAATTCATGTCCGTTGACCTAAGACAAAGTGGAACTTGCACGTCGGATGATGGAGGTAGGCGGACAGCATCTGCCTGACTGCACTGGTTCCTAGAGGCATGGATAATATAAATCAGGAAAAGAGTATTTCAGACCCTGGTCGATTCCCTCCAATCAGTCCGGCCAGTCGGTACCTCGCCTAGCACCAGTGCAGGAACAGATTTCTAGAATTATATACCTCGTGTACTTTTCCGGTCATTCTAATCCAGTGATGGTGGCTTCGGAATGTATCTATAATAATGCAAAATGACATGAAAATGACATAAAAATATTACTAAACAGATATGCAGATGTCAGAATTTGAACACATTGGATTATTGAACCACTGAAAAGACTCTGAATTGATTGGAAATGGAGGGATAGAAGCTATGACTATTCAAACCCCTATTTAAACCTCAGCCACACCAGCTTAGGGTGATCGGTGGATCCCAGAGGTCGACTCTCCCAAAGGTTAGTTACCAGCTTTCAACTTCTTAGTAGCCCACGCCCTTTGAACTTCCTTCACAGTTTGAAATAGTGCTTGATCGGATGGTTTTTCGAATGCCTTTTGTCTTTCAGGCTCCAAGGAAGGTGAAGGCACCGAAACGTCAGCCTAATAAAGCTTGTTAATATCTCGGTTCTACAGCTCAAAAACTAACTTCAAAACTAAAGGAAGAATGCCGAGATTCATTGACAGTCACACATGGACACTACTTCGAGAAGCCATGACGACTTTTACACCTACATACATTAGCAATCAGCATTAGTTTGGTGGACTACTGAAATACTTTTACGACGAAGTTTCTTCACTGACTCAGCCATTATAACAACCTGCTTCAGGGCATACCTACGAAGAAAAAACGATTCCTAGTATATCAGCAGGTTCTACCATGCTACTTGTCTTGCCAAATTACGCATTCTGACGTCGTCACGATCGAAACGGATGTCCCGAAGGGTTCCAAAGTTCGTTGCCGGGAAACTCTTTCATTATCCTCCAGAATATAATTCCACTTCAGCATTCCCATTCCAATTCACTGCTAGAAGGAGCCAAGTTAGGTTTCCAGGTGAACCGTGTGTAAGTGCTGTCACAATCTCACAGGAAAAAGAGGGTTTTGTGTGTAGATAGGCTAGGTTCGGCAAGCATTCACCACAGTGACCAGAGTGGACTAGTCACGGAGGGGAGGACCGGGGGAAGACACTTCTAGCTTGGGAAGCGTAACGAATAAGCACCGTTCGTATGAAGTACAGGTTCCAGTGAGGTCAGTGCGCTCAAGACCGCTTGACCGACAGCTCCTCAACCTCCAGATATCAAACATATTCTAGGGGGAATTATAGACGTAAGACAGTAAAAGAGAACGAAATTTCGGCTACTTTCCTGGTAATCATTCTTCAGCTGTACTTTTGATGAGTAGAGAAAACGAAGAAGTAGCGCAAGAAATACTTTACAACAACATGCCGAATGTTGACTACATATTAAAGTGTAGCAGTGCAGTTTGCAGGAGCAATGAATCAACACTTTGGACAGGTCGCCATCGCTGACGCATGAACGAACAGTTCGCGAGCTCCTCATTCATTCTCGATGACATCGTCTAGTGATTCAAATCCACTTTCATTCTCTTTTACGGTGGGCTTCGGAAAGCCAACCCAATGTTAGCAGCCAACTCATGGAAGCTCTGGGAAAGGAGATTACTAATTATTAATTAGGAAAGAGAAGGAAAGAAGAGGAATCTTCGGAGTGCAATCATTCGCCATTTGAAGTTCACGCCTCTACAAAATACCGAGTAGTATCGAGACAATAGCATGAATAAGTGGAATATACTGTAGTATTTTAAAGAATGGGCTCGACTTACTCATGAATATCCGTACAGTCCTAACCAAAAGTAAGTGGGAAGACATAACTTGCTCTTGAACGTGAATAATATATCAGCTCAAGAACCTTCTTCTTCTTTACAGTGAAAGCTCAATCGGCTCCAGCAACCTTCGGCATCCTCCCTTTCGGTTGTAGACGTATGATCTCTTACCTACTATTGAATTCTTCCAAGCTTGCGAAGGCACACAAAAACACCACCACTTCATCTTATGGCAAGATAAGACCAAACCAAACACAAAAATTTCTCACATTCAGAACACTGTCTGAGACGCAGCAGTTTAATGTTCACTACCATCGTCAAGACCTAATTACGATTCACTGAATTACTTAACACTTGTGTTTTGTAGATAAAAGTCACCCCGACAATTTCTCTGGTCATTAGCTGAATGCTTGGTGTGTGGGTTGATATTGTCTATCACAGCTTTACCATCATTCGGAATGTTTCATCACTACAGCATGCGGATATTGGACCTACTATTATTGAATATGAAATCTCAACGACGCAGTAGTCGTATCTTTTCAAACATTCACAGATGTGCGCCCAGCCGTAAAGCGAAGGGATATCTGACGGATTGAAGAGGTACTGTCTAAAATTCTCAAGATATAGATTGGTACCAGAGGCTTGGATTAAACTTAAATTTTAAGTGATAGAGCATGTTTTGTTGTGCTCATAGAGGTTGGCCTTCATCAGTGGTTATCACTATTGATGTCCTCCTCGACACCAACCATCTACAATTCTGTCACCTCCCACATCACACTCCAGAATGCCACGGCCTAACTATTACTAAAAAACGCAACGGAGTCAGCATCGCAAGCACAAAGAGCTCCCTTACCACCCCTCGTCGATTTTTATCCTTTTTGTCTTCAACCACCGAAGACTCTCTTACACTCAACATCACCCACTGAAGTACGTAAAGCGTCACAGTTTCACGGATCCGGGAACTTTTACATATATGGCCTTTTTCAGTTATCACTGCTAACAATTCCTCTTGCCCGACATCAAAAACACTGCTCTATCGCCCTACCAAATTCTTATGTTCTTGATCTGGGCGAGAGTTGTGGATTTGCGAGCACCCCCACACACTTAACACACGCTCACTGTACGTGTACCAGACAAACTACACTGCTTCACATGCACCTACAGACACCTGCTCAGGCCCCTCTTGAGCTTTGTCATTTTTGACCAAATAATTTGAAGCTAACATAATGAATGGCAAATGACCTCTGAATTCGCTGAGAGCTTCACATTTTTTACTTTTAGATCACCTTATGTAGTGGGAACGTTCCAGAAGTTTGAAGGTATTGGCCAATTCCTTAAGAGCTATGGGTACTCGAAACCGAGAACAAAAGAAGAACAACTCGAACTGCAGAAGAAGTAAAAAGTAAGTAACCTGTGTTGATGCGCGAAGCGAATCACATGCGTATACAACGGAAATGGAACACCATCGATCACTATTGTTGAAAAAACACTCGCACGGGAACGGACGATTGCCGTCCAGTCGATTGATTCCGCTTTACTGTTTTCTAAAAGTGAAAATTCAGTCGCAATTCCAATGGAATTTTTCTAAGGCACAGTACACAATAATTTTGAGGTACTCCTTTTCAATCAAAAGACGGAAGCGTAGGGTGGGAGTTCATCGGCAATGAAGTAGCGTAGTTCATCGGCAGAGAAGAAAGCGAGAAAATTCGCCGATTTTGTGGAAGATTGGGGCTTCTCGAACAAGTAAAAGTAGAGGCAGACGAGATTACCATGACGGAAATAACATTTGAGTGGTATTCGGACTAGGTTTCAGTCGTTCAAATTGCGCCAGGAACTGACTACATCAAGCCAGAACTGAACAGAGCTACCTTCCACTTTCATAATGGGTCATGACAAGTTGCTTGATTTCCCTACATTGGCTTCCTTGCGATTGGTGCATCCTCTACTATGCCGATGCAGCTGGTCCGAGGATACACACGGTACAATGATCTGGAAGTTAACATGGAACAATCTTTGAGCTATTATAATGCCCTGTCTAGGCCGCTTCAAGGTATGACAGCGCCACATACGGCATACTGAAGTCCTACAGATTCATTCTGTCGGAATATCTCGAAAGTCATTTTTATCGTCAACTAGGCCTTTGAGTCATCGAACCTGATAGAAGTATTTTGGGTGAGTGCGAGCTTGACAGAAAGCTTTTGTAGTTATCTTTCTCGCACAAATCCTGGAAGTGCTTTAGAGGTTGACCGAAGGAATTGAGATTAAGAAAACCAATGAGCAACATGGGGCTAATAAGAAAAATGAGCAGTGTTAAAGCATTGCACTAGTGCCCAGGTTGGGCCTTTGTGCGAGATCACCTGTACATTTTGTCATCCCGTCGATTATGAATTTTCTCGAGCTGGCGCGAATAACTTACAGTGAGCCAAATGAATCCACTGAATTGTCCTCGATGAAGGGACAGGACATATACCATACCTTTCGTTCAGAGCTTTCGTTAGCCCTTTGAAGACAGCGCGGCTCAACGGTGGGTAACGGAACTTCTCCCCTATCGCGGCATTCTCCCTTGCGGCATGCGGCAAATGTCACTGCAATTACCGTACTC